CTTACTATATCTAAAAGGCAGTATCCATAGCTTAACAGTTAACCCTTGGAATGTCCAAATTGTATCATATAGGTCAAGTGTGTGGATTGATTCTTATGGCTGTATTGTGTAGCTTTAGTACAATTAAAGAAACAACTTATAACCGTTGTGAACCAGTAAGGGATAAGTACAATGGCTATATGGGCAGTCATACACAGAAGCCGACAATTCTTTTATTGCCACTGTAAATAGTAACCCATTAGTTTATGCAACACAAAACAGACCCCTAAACTCTTAGACCTATAATACAGGTAAAATTAATGGACATATGAACATCAAATATAATAGAAATAAATGAAGAATATATACATATATACAGGCATAACTTAAGATACCATTTATTATCAGAATTATTGCAGTACTTTAAATAAACGGGGAATATGAAAACCCTTCATTTAGCCCCAGGGGAGATAGCGTTTTGAGATTTTTTGAAAGACATTCAGCATAGTGTCCCATCCTGCATCGTATGTACCTATGCAGCGTATTTTATTTTCCTCAGTCTTACGACCCCCATCTATAATTAGGGTTTCCCGTTCAGTGTGGATTGCCCTCAGATAGGCTCTTTTTAGAACCCTATTTGGGTAACCTTTGGCCTTAAACATGTGACGCAGCTCATTTGCTTTTAATTTGAACTCCTCCATCGTGGAGCAGTTTCGTCGAAGTTTCAAATATTAGCCTATTGGGATACCGGATTTGAGTGATATGGGGTGATGACTAGACCAGCATAGCAGGTTATTTGAGGCTGTCTTCTTTCTGTACAAGGTTGTTTCAATTTTGCCTTCTTTAGATACCTGTAGTGCTAGATCTAGAAAGCAAAGGTTTTGACCCCCTACTTCACTAGTGAATCGTAAGTTAAAATCGTTGCTGTTCAGCAGAGATACAAATTCTTTGAATCTCTCTGATGTATCAAGCCAAATCAAAAACACATCATCGATGTATCTTTTCCAATAGAAGATCTGATTAGTGTATGATTTCAGCTTAGGATCTGCCCTAATACACCTTTCCCACCAGCTTAGATGGAGATTGGCATATGAGGGCGCACAAGACGTCCCCATAGCTGTACCAGTGGTCTGGTGGAAGATTTTGCCATTGAACAGAAAGATATTACGAGTCAAAATGAATTCAAGTAATTCCATCACAAAATTCACATAATGTTCAGGTAGGTCAGTTTCAAGATTTAATAGTTGACGGGTATGTTTAATACCTAGGTTATGAGGAATTGAGCTGTAAAGGGCCTCCACATCAAGGCTACACAGGATAGCGTTTGGAGGTAAAGTAAGGTTGGTCAATAAATGCAACATTTGTTTAGTATCTCTAAGGAAAGATGGTAGCTTCTGTACTACTGGGGACAGAATTTTATCCACATAAATGCTTACATTCTGAGTTAGATTATCACAACCAGAAACTATCGGCCTACCGGTCGGATCGGTTAGTGATTTGTGCACTTTAGGCAAACAATAAAAAGTAGATAGACATGGTTGTTTGGTGCACATAAATTCAAACTCATCCTGATTAATGAGTTGATGATTCACAGCCTTAGTAAGCATAGTTTTTAACTCAGCTTGGAACGCTTTTGTAGGATCTTTTGCTAGTATGCGGTAAGTATTTTTATCGGATAAAAGTCTTTCAGCTATACGAATGTAGTGGTCTCAGTCAAGTATCACCACATTGCCCCCTTTATCAGAGGGTTTGAAAATCAAATTTGTATAGCTCTGTAGTTTTTTCAGGGCTATTAGTTCCTGAGTATTAAGGTTGCCATTAGGGGATAGATAAAAATCATCCATTTTTGTCTTATCTATTTCCCTAGTAACCATTTCCAAAAATACCTCCAAATTTTTATAGTCCTGAAAATGAGGGGTAAACTTACTCTTGGGTTTCAAATTAGTATGTGGTATATCAGATTGTATAGTACCATCTCCAGAGTTAAGTAATTCCACCAGAGTGTCTAAGCACTCCAAGTCATTTGGTAATATACCCAAGCTTTGGGCCTTAGTTTCTTTACGTACTGCATGGTATTTATACAAGGCAAGCTTTCTCACAAAAAGGTTTACATCCTTAGTCCAGTTGAACTTGCTGAATGTTGGAATGGGTACGAATGAAAGACCCTTCTCCAATACGCTAAGTTCGCTCTGACCAAGGATGGTATCAGAGAGATTAATAATACGCAGAGAGGATGCTATCATTCCCTGCGTCGTCTCTGACTTCTGCCCCTGTATCTGGTGTGCGGACCCTGAGTTAGATCCGCTTGTCTTTTTTTATCTCCAAAAATTTTATATTTATTTTTAAATCTTTTGCGAAAAATATTGCAACTCCACCCCTTTTCCCCTCCTCCCTAGAGGAACAAACTTTTAAAGGAAAAGAACTACTGGTCCATCTCTTTTCATCCTGTTTACGCCAATGTGTCTCTTGGACCATCGCAATTTGAACCTGTTCTTTTTTTAAGTAATCTTGAAAAGCTAGTCTTTTTTGAGGGATATTTAAACCCTGAATATTTATGGTGATTAATTTAACCATTGTCATATAATGTCATTTTTTTTTCTTTTCTTTTCCTCTTCTCTCTCCTCCTTCTCTTTCTCCCCCTTTCTCTCTTTAAACCGTCTAGTGAACTCCCGGAAAAAAACAAAAAAAACTGGACCCATTACAAAACATACATAAAACAGCCTCAAGTCTACAAACACTTGAGGTCTATTTCCTAACATTCCTACGACTCTAAAAAGAGTCAAAAAACACTTCCCTTGGTGGGTATTAATACCCACTTTAACCTTTTTCAGGTTCCGGCAGGGGAGGTTGCATCCCGTTTTGAAGGAGCCAAAACTATATTTTATTTAACATTTCTATTTCAACATTCTCTTATACTGTATAACCTCTATTCTTCTGTTCTTCCTTCCTCCTCCCTCTCTGATACGAGAAAGAGAAGAAGAAAGGAAAACAGAAGGGGAGAGAGAAAAAAAAAAAAAAAAAACACACCTTACTTATTAATACCTTTCCGTTATTACACTCTTATTCTTTCCTCTTTCCCTTCTTTTTCCTCTGTCCCTTACTCCCCTCTTTTACTACATACATTATCAAATCTTTATTCTTTCCTATTCGTATGACACACTTTCTTTTCCCTTTTTTTTCCCTTTTTCTTACTTTTTCTTTCACACCTCTAAATTTCAACTCTTTTATGTTTAACCTTTTAAATTTCTTTTGTGAGTCCTTACAATTACTAATTTCTTAAAATCTTATTTCTTGTGAGTAACTAGCCTGAAATTTATTGTGGTTCTAAATTTAACCCTTTCTCCTCAGTTTAATGTATCATACATAGTTTTCAATATTATCTTTTACAAATTCATTTGTGTAAATTACATGCTAACATATATGTGTTTTCTTGTAACTTAAAAGTGCTTATCTCTATTTATTTATTCTCCATTATATTAATTTATTCTCTGTGTCTTCAAAAAAAAAAAAAATTTTCTTCCTCTCATCTCCCTTCTCTTTTCCTCCTCATCTGATTATGTGAGATCATTTCTCTTTCTTCTTTATCCATTGTTCTATCTGAGATGCGGTCATAAATATCTCGCGTATTCCTTCTGTGATTATCATTAATTTACAGGGATAAATCCAAGAGTATTTTATGTTTAATCTTCTTAATGAAGCCGTAGCCGTCGAGAATTTTTTTCTTTGTTGTCTAGTGTAAAAGGACAAATCTTGAAATATCTTGATATCACCAAACTTTTCTGTATTATACTGTTTTGTTCTGACTGCATTCATTATAGCTTCTTTAAATTGATGCGACTGAAAGTTTATTATTATGTCTCTCGCAATTTGTTGAGGAACCGAACTTGGTTTATTTATACGATGATATTGCTCCATTTTAGTGTTTAAAGTTGATACGTTAATATTAAGTGTTGCCCATAGGGTATCAAGGAAGTCGGGTATTTTATCTTGTGTGACTGTCTCTGGAACGTTTCTTATTCGCAGATTATTTCTTCTTAAGCGATCCTCCAGATCTCCTAATTTTCCTTCTATTTGTCTCAATTGAGTATTCAGCTGCTCATTTTGTTCTTTATATACTCTGCTCTCATATTCCAAAGCTGTGATTTTTTCTTCGTTTTGTTTTAATTTTTCTAGTATTTCTTGCAGTTGTTTTTTTGTTTCTGCTGTATTTTTATTAAGTTCAGCAGTTATTGCCCCCAGTTGCTCTTCTAAACAATTTTTTAAAAAGTCTGTTGTAATATAATTTTCTATTTGGCTGGATGATTGACTAGATGGACTTTGAATGAAATCTTCGCTTTTTGAAGAATATACACTTGAACTATCTTGATTTTTTCCTTTATTAGATTTTTGTCCAGGTGAAAAAAAACTTGAAGGATTTCTTTCTATTTGTTGATCCTGTTTAACTGCTTTCTTAGTAGCTGCTTTCGATGATTTAGTTGCCATAATTTTTTTTTTCTTTTTCTCTTCTTTACCTTTTTTACTTAATTTCTCTTCCCCCTTCTTTTCCTTTTCTTCCTCTCCTTCTTCTCCCTTCTCCCCTTTTTTTTCTTCTCCTTTTACCCTTTATTTAGGGTTTTTTTTATATTTGATATATGTTTATTTTTTTTTTTCCTTTATTTTTTTTTTAGTATTTTTATTTACAGTTTTATCTTTACTTTCTCAGTCCTTTCACGTTCTTTTCACAGCATTGAGCGTAATCTGAAGAGCTAAAGAGCTAATATAGACAAAAACCAAGGAAGTACTTAGCTTGTCTTCATTTCTCTTTGCATCAAATGCTCACTTCACACAGCACTTCCTTTTGACTATTTTATTTCTCATATGAACAGATAAAGGCAAATTTACATCATACAGATTTCGACTAATTGTCATTTCAGAGTCTTTTAACACAGTCTTTCACAGCTTTTCACAGCATAAGCAGTAAGTAGAGAGCAAAAGAAAAGGGAGTACTTAGCTTATCTTTAAGTCTCTTTTCTCTTTACGTTCTCTTTACATCCATTGCTCCTTTTCACACAGCTTCACACAGCTTCTTTTTGATTATTCCGTGTGAACAACTATGAGCAGGTACAGGCAGAATTACCATCTTATAGGGTTTCAGCTAGTTGTCGGCGTCTGCATCAGCATCAGTGGTATTAGCGGTATCAGCGGTATCAAAGATATCAAAATGTTAGCTGCTCTCAGACTTGCTATAATGCCGGGTTTCTTAACGCCGTTCGAACTTCAATCTTGCCTCGTGCGATCTAAAAGAACGCCGTTCCTCCTCCATTACCGGGTCAACCTCCCCGCCTCTGGATGCGTGCGTACCTCCGCCCACCTCTACGTCATCACGCAAACGCCTGATCCGCTTGTCTTAATCCTAAAAAATCCACCCCCTTTTTTAGAATACTTTTAGTTGGATTCCTAGGAGTAGGGGTTTGAGGTTTTTCATTTTCAGTATCGGTTGATTCGTACTCAGATGTACTGAATTGGTCAGAGTCTACTTTAGATCTCTTTTTAAAAGAACGGTAAATTCTACCTTGTTCAAAGTCCTTTGTATCTCTCATATACTTCTGGTGTTTTCTCACTTTTATAATGTGAGAGAATTTGTCCAGATTGGATTTGAGTTTTATCTCTAGTGATTCAAATTGTGGTTCTACTTTAAAACCCTGGACCACCTCAATCTCTTTATCCAGTTCTAGTTGGACATTGGATAGTTTAATAGACTCATATTTACAAATAATACTCATGAACGTATTTGAACATTTAGTAGCTGCCTCATCCCATTCTTTATAGAAGTCTTCCATCTCGACTTGTCTTGATGGAGAGGTCTGAACTCTTAGCCCGCTAGGGATGATATTTTTAGAGATGTATTTCTCGAGAGTGGAGACTTCCCAGCTTATCTTAATTTGTTGTTTAAAGAGTTTAGTAAGCTTATTAAAGCTGGTGTGAATATTAGGGGGAGACAGTGAATCTAGTGTACTTTCAGTACTGAACACAGAATCAGCGTCCGCACACCATGTACTTGCGCTGGGTTTTTTAGACAGAAAGCCTGCCATTGTAGTTTGGAAAAAAGGTTATAAAAACTGATAATAGTAATGGTGGTGACCACACGGTGAGTAACACCAATATAATTAAATAACAAGAAAAAGGAAACTCAAAAGGCTGGAAAGTGGGAGGGGAGGAAAAGACACTCCCGTATCCCAATGCCGAGCCTCCAGAGTATAGAGGTCACCTGGACTGGTAAAAGGGGGTAACCCTGGAAATTGTAGAAAAAAGGAAGAAAAAAAACCCAAAATGGGATGTCTTATATAAAGACCGCCCAGAGGGTAAATACCCAGTCCAATCTCAACAGTAGTGTAGTTGCCAAAAAATAAAAAAGCCTTTATTGAAATCTATTAAAAAACCTGGGTAATCAGTGATGGACAGAATAATATAGAGAGAAATATGTATGAAGATTACATACTTTCACATACTAGAAAAACATAAATGAAAAGGTGCTCAGAGCAAAGTGCTCAAGAGAGTATTTAAAAACACAGAAGAACCCGACGTACGTTTCGGCGTGACCACACGCCGTCCTCAGGGGTATCAGCAATGAGCAAAAAGACTGTCCGGGTGGTAAATTTATACCTTAAGCTCATAAGCTTTATTGTAATCACCTGTGATTGTGTCTAAATTGCTCCGGTCCTCCTGTGAATGGGGCTGTGGGGGTGTGGTGTAACACACCATAGTGTCAGCCCACATTTCTATGTCAGAGGTAGCCAGAACAGAAATCAGGTGAAAGGCAATTAACCCTTTGAGTGCCCCGCCTGGAACAGATATAAATGGATACTTACTATATCTAAAAGGCAGTATCCATAGCTTAACAGTTAACCCTTGGAATGTCCAAATTGTATCATATAGGTCAAGTGTGTGGATTGATTCTTATGGCTGTATTGTGTAGCTTTAGTACAATTAAAGAAACAACTTATAACCGTTGTGAACCAGTAAGGGATAAGTACAATGGCTATATAGGCAGTCATACACAGAAGCCGACAATTCTTTTATTGCCACTGTAAATAGTAACCCATTAGTTTATGCAACACAAAACAGACCCCTAAACTCTTAGACCTATAATACAGGTAAAATTAATGGACATATGAACACCAAATATAATAAAAATAAATAAAGAATATATACATATATACAGGCATAACTTAAGATACCATTTATTATCAGAATTATTGCAGTACTTTAAATAAACGGGGAATATGAAAACCCTTCATTTAGCCCCAGGGGAGATAGCGTTTTAAGATGGTAAATCCAAAACGCCTCTCTTTGTCTTAGTTTTAGGTCCCAGTTTCCTTTCCTAGGAGGCTGTGGTACATGTTCAAGGCCCATGAACCGGATGCCTGCCGAGGAGTGATTGTGATGTAGATGTAAATGCCTTGAGACGGGTGTTTCCAAACGTCTCTTGACAGAATTTACATGTTCACGTATCCTTAGCCTAAAGTGGCGAAAAGTCTTGCCTACATATTTTAGGCCACAGGAGCAAGACAGTAGGTAAACTACTCCTGTTGTGTTACAATTAAAGAAGGAACGTGGTTTGAAATTCATTAAGCCCTTGCTGTCAGAGGCCCTCTTGGTAATAAGCGGGCATGCACTGCAGTGACCACATTGGAAAGAACCCATTGGTAGGTATTTTTGAAAATAACCTGACGGGGACGTAGTTGAGAGGTGACTAGGTGCTAGGATATCTCTCAAGTTTTTGCCCCTCCATGCTGTAATTGAAGGGAGTGATGGCAGAATTTCCTTCAGATGCTTATCTGATTGGAGGATAGGCCAGAATTTTTGAAAGACATTCAGCATAGTGTCCCATCCTGCATCATATGTACCTATGCAGCGTATTTTATTTTCCTCAGTCTTACGACCCCCATCTGTAATTAGGGTTTCCCGTTCAGTGTGGATTGCCCTCAGATAGGCTCTTTTTAGAACCCTATTTGGGTAACCTTTGGCCTTAAACATGTGACGCAGCTCATTTGCTTTTAATTTGAACTCCTCCATCGTGGAGCAGTTTCGTCGAAGTCTCAAATATTGGCCTATTGGGATACCGGATTTGAGTGATATGGGGTGATGACTAGACCAGCATAGCAGGTTATTTGAGGCTGTCTTCTTTCTGTACAAGGTTGTTTCAATTTTGCCTTCTTTAGATACCTGTAGTGCTAGATCTAGAAAGCAAAGGTTTTGACCCCCTACTTCACTAGTGAATCGTAAGTTAAAATCGTTGCTGTTCAGCAGACATACAAATTCTTTGAATCTCTCTGATGTATCAAGCCAAATCAAAAACACATCATCGATGTATCTTTTCCAATAGAAGATCTGATTAGTGTATGATTTCAGCTTAGGATCTGCCCTAATACACCTTTCCCACCAGCCTAGATGGAGATTGGCATATGAGGGCGCACAAGACGTCCCCATAGCTGTACCAGTGGTCTGGTGGAAGATTTTGCCATTGAACAGAAAGATATTATGAGTCAAAATGAATTCAAGTAATTCCATTACAAAATTCACATAATGTTCAGGTAGGTCAGTTTCAAGATTTAATAGTTGACGGGTATGTTTAATACCTAGGTTATGAGGAATTGAGCTGTAAAGGGCCTCCACGTCAAGGCTACACAGGATAGCGTTTGGAGGTAAAGTAAGGTTGGTCAATAAATGCAACATTTGTTTAGTATCTCTAAGGAAAGATGGTAGCTTCTGTACTACTGGGGACAGAATCTTATCCACATAAATGCTTACATTCTGAGTTAGATTATCACAACCAGAAACTATCGGCCTACCGGTCGGATTGGTTAGTGATTTGTGCACTTTAGGCAAGCAATAAAAAGTAGATAGACATGGTTGTTTGGTGCACATAAATTCAAACTCATCCTGATTAATGAGTTGATGATTCACAGCCTTAGTAAGCATAGTTTTTAACTCAGCTTGGAACGCTTTTGTAGGATCTTTTGCTAGTATGCGGTAAGTATTTTTATCGGATAAAAGTCTTTCAGCTATACGAATGTAGTGGTCTCTGTCAAGTATCACCACATTGCCCCCTTTATCAGAGGGTTTGAAAATCAAATTTGTATAGCTCTGTAGTTTTTTCAGGGCTATTAGTTCCTGAGTATTAAGGTTGCCATTAGGGGATAGATAAAAATCATCCATTTTTGTCTTATCTATTTCCCTAGTAACCATTTCCAAAAATACCTCCAAATTTTTATAATCCTGAAAATGAGGGGTAAATTTACTCTTGGGTTTCAAATTAGTATGTGGTATATCAGATTGTATAGTACCATCTCCAGAGTTAAGTAATTCCACCAGAGTGTCTAAGCACTCTAAGTCATTTGGTGATAGACCCAAGCTTTGGGCCTTAGTTTCTTTACGTACTGCATGGTATTTATACAAGGCAAGCTTTCTCACAAAAAGGTTTACATCCTTAGTCCAGTTGAACTTGCTGAATGTTGGAATGGGTACGAATGAAAGACCCTTCTCCAATACGCTAAGTTCGGTCTGACCAAGGATGGTATCAGAGAGATTAATAATACGCAGAGAGGATGCTATCATTCCCTGCGTCGTCTCTGACTTCTGCCCCTGTATCTGGTGTGCGGACCCTGAGTTAGATCCGCTTGTCTTAATCCTAAAAAATCCACCCCCTTTTTTAGAATACTTTTAGTTGGATTCCTAGGAGTAGGGGTTTGAGGTTTTTCAGTTTCAGTATCGGTTGATTCGTACTCAGATGTACTGAATTGGTCAGAGTCTACTTTAGATCTCTTTTTAAAAGAACGGTAAATTCTACCTTGTTCAAAGTCCTTTGTATCTCTCATATACTTCTGGTGTTTCCTCACTTTTATAATGTGAGAGAATTTGTCCAGATTGGATTTGAGTTTTATCTCTAGTGATTCAAATTGTGGTTCTACTTTAAAACCCTGGACCACCTCAATCTCTTTATCCAGTTCTAGTTGGACATTGGATAGTTTAATAGACTCATATTTACAAATAATACTCATGAACGTATTTGAGCATTTAGTAGCTGCCTCATCCCATTCTTTATAGAAGTCTTCCAATCTATTTTGGTAAACTGCTGTCCTCATCCTGGTATTATGCTTCGCTAGAAGATTGAGCGCTTGTGATGTCTCGTTAGTAATGATCTCAACCACCGCCTGTAACCTTATAATGCGGTTGAGCATATAAATAGGGGTT